GGGGGAGGGGTGGCATTGCGGCAAAAGTCCTTCGTTATAATTAAAGAATCTGGAAACAGCAGTCCTCTTTCAGAATTGGATTCAAACTCGCGTCGCCCACGTCGCAAGTCCATGGAAATAGACGTAATAGGAGTTCAGGGTGATCCCTCCCAAAAAACTGTACAACGTTTTTCTAAATATCTCGCACAAAATTTGTACTAGAATGTTATAGTTTGGCCTAGTTATAATTCAATCAAAATGAATTTGTTAGACATAAAATTCACAAAGAAGAAACCTATTTTCGAAAATGGAAATGGCTTTTATAAAAACCACCTACAAATGCAAAATACACCAATGTAAAAGGTCTTGTAAGGAAAGTCACGAAATGATTGGTTAGTTTTTTCCTTTCCTTTTATTTTTAAAATCTAATCTTTCCACCTTTTGTCTTGCCTCTTAGACAACATGATAAAAATATTAGTACCGGAATTATACCAACAATTACTGTTTCTGGAATTCCGAGAGCTAATGGTCTATAGAATCTATGTTCTCGATCCTTTGAACTCGACCATTTTAACTCGTCGTTCGTAATGTTCAGTGGTGACTTATCATTAGGATCCACTCAATCATGAGTACTCAAAGCCACACACACTGTACACCTTACAGTATGGAGCTGTTTGTAGAGACAATAGGGGTTTGGGGCCAAATAGACAGCATTTGAGGAGTTGATATAATCTGAAAGGTGAATATGGACTTTGCCAATAACCAAATGTCATAGAGGAAATGCTCACGCTTTTCAAGACGATCTTCGCGAACGGGAAAAAGGTACAGTCATAGATGAAGACCAGCCTTGAGAATGCAGACCGTTGAGATGTAGGAAGGTCATTGCTGCAGACATCGTCTACTGGCAGACATCTCATGGGGCCCATCTACTGAATTCTGCACCCTGGTGACGTGGGGTGGGAACGGTGTGTGTTTGACCTGAAATGGTCGTTTTGTCAGGGTATTTTTAGTTCTGTGTCTCTACAGGTCCTAACAGATGGACCATTTCCACCCATGACATCAAAGGAGGTCTTAAGGGTACTTTAACATTATTTCTGTACATTGTGTGAAACTTACGAAATTAGTTGGAGGTGAGGAAATGTTCAATACAAAAAGCTCTCTGCTCTGTGCTAATCTTAACATGATCTCAGCAGGCAAAGGAAACTAGAGAAAAACTATCTGCAAACTTCTGTTGGCATGTTAGACCACTGTAGTTTGCAATATGGCACAATCCTTGGGATTTTAAGTGGTATGCCTAATACGAACTAGTGCGTCATGCTACGATAATGAGGACACAGCTGAAAATGGGTTGTTTTTTGACACGCTATGTAGAGCAAAACTGTTTTGTGGATTCATCTAAAATGAATATCAGACAAATTCATTTTGAAATCAAAATGATATATACAAATTTGAAACACATAACTTCTGTGTGAAGGAAAATATTAACAAAAAAAGTTGCACAATTGGGTTTTGTTTTATATTTTTGGAACACCCTGTACATGTATCAATTTTCTGTACGTATTGCCAAAGCTTACAAGTAAAGTTACAACGGACGCTGCAATGGCGCTACATTTACTGCGCCCCCATACTACAGTCGAGTGTTTGTGGAGTGGGGAGTATTACATAAGGAACGAGCTCATGACTTAGTCTAGTTAGAGATTCATATCTCTGAACTGGACCCTTGGTCGTCAGATCCTGACCCCCTCGGCCTCCTCCCTCCTTTTCAGGCCCTAAAAGAGTCCCAAAAAGCTCAACAATAAACATACAAAAACAAATGAACAAACAAATAAAACCCAGCAAGACAGGAGACATAGGACATAATATAATATCTAATGGAATGACACCACATACTATGCCTGAGAGATTCTGGTTTATGCGAAACACCCTGTCATAGGAAAAGTTGCGTCCCCTATTTGAGCGACAGCAGAAATATGATTAATTTATATATCCTCCAGACCACTCGAAGAATTTACCTTTTTTCAAAATGACAAACAAATTAACAACGCTTCCCCTCAAACACAAAAGAAAAACTACGTAAACAAAATCGTAAAGCCATATTCCTTACGAGCTGCGGCATTCCAAAGATCTATTAACAATGTTTATATTAACCTCATTACGTGCTTCTAAACTGAAGGCAATGCTTATTCCAGGTCTGATAATTGCGTCTTTCTTTCGCTTCCCGAGCTGGTCGACTTGTTTTGTCTGGAACAATTTGACCTGGCTAGCATGCCTAGCCATAATACCGGAGAAACAATTCCCATACGAACTTTCAACAAAAGGGGGAAAAAGGAGAAGAGAGAAAACAAAAAAGAGAAAAATGATCGAAGAAGAATTCTTTTTGCGTGGACGTGGCAAGATGTCCGCTCAGGTCAGGTATACTGCACCACAACGGCTTCGTCTTTCAACCTCAAAACCCGCGTTATGCTCACAAACGCAAAAATCTCAAAAGAGATGGAGTTGGAAAAGTGTCCATGCCTACAGGAATCTAGATGGATTTTTTTTTCTTGTTACAGTTTGATTTAGTTTCTGGAATATTTTCCTCTCAGCTTTTGTGCCTTCACTGAGAATTAGAGGCTGGTTGGAGGGTTCCCATGTGTGGTTAGCTTCTTCTTTACTATCAAACCTCTATCATCCTTTCCTTGCCTTCTTCTTCTTCTTCTTCTTCTTCTTCTTCTTCTTCTTCTTCTTCTTCTTCTTCTTCTTCTTCTTCTTCTTCTT